CCCCCCCCCCCCCCCCATCTTTATTTGTTATAATGTATTTGGGTTTTTATTACAACCCCTTAGGGTGTTTTTGTTGTGGGCTTTTTTTCCCTTTTTTAATTTTTTTTTTTTTTTATTTTTTTGCAAAGGAGGTGAATAGCATTCCTACATTTATATAAGCCAGGACCCTGGAACCTAACTGATTAAAAATGCCTTTCAGAGTCAGAAGTTCATTTTGAGTCACTTGCTCAATATCTTCCCTGATGTTTCAGGCATCAGGTTTGTGTCTAGATGTCAGAAATGGAAATGCCAAAAGATAAATTTTGTCATTTTTCCAGCCAACCTAAATTTCTATGTTATATTAATTGATACCTAAACTATTTTTTATTCCAGCATACTGTGCACTGGCCTTTGCTGAAGCACTATGTCATCCTAGCAATGCTACTCCCTTGATCCTCCCCTGATTCTTATTAATCCAGATTTTGTTGGGTCACGACTGAAAGTATCTCACCAATGCCCTGGTCTGGAGCAGGCAGCAGAGGGCAGGAATTACATCTCTGTATCTGCCCCCAGGGCAGCAAGCACAGCCAGTCAGCTGTACAGTCCTAGCAGTCACAAAATTACTGGTGCAGTCCACCGCAGCAGCATAGCTAACGTGTTCAGATATATAAATAAATACATACATATTATACATATGGAGAGAGACTAGAGTTCTTATCTTGCCAACATCTGCTCCGGACCAATTTATGGTGAGTCAAAGCTGGTTAAGTAACAAGAGGGACACAATTAGAGGTAATTAACTCTGTCAGAAATCGGTTCCCATGTATTTATTGGCCAGATGAAGGTTGGCAAAATGGTGAGGGATGTGGGAAAAGGCTAAGATAACAAGTCTAGACTATATAGGTCCATAAATATGTTCAGTTCAGCTATTGCTTCTGTGATTAGGCTAAAAAATCTGTATCCTCCCTTCACAGCATATCAAACATAATTGGTAGTATCTGAACTGAGATTTTATCTAACCATAAATTTAATAACAATGACATTAATGTTTCCTAAATGAAAAAGCTTTCTATTTGTCATGCTTGCTTATTGTTTTAGGAGTGGTACCTTGGGATTTGGCCAATTCTGCTTTTTCTAGTCTGCACTGAGCTTAAAAAGGAGATTTTAATTTTCCATGTTCCCTGCTTCCAGCAATATTAATAGGGGAGGCAAAGTGAAAACAAAATGAGGGTCATGGTCTCGCCACATATGGTAGCATGACTGTTTGAAGACAACAGATCCTGCACTCTTCTGTGGTGCGTTTTTCTTGCAGGGGTACAGTGTTTTTCACTTAAAGCAATGGGTGGCTATGGGATTGGTTTTGTTCCCAAGTCGTCCTTGTAGCAGTTGCTTGAGCTCCACTTCAGAGAAATAAAAGATGTTGATCCTCTTGCATTTGCTTTATAATAAACAGATTTATTTGCTTACTCTCAGTCTTCACCTTTTTCGGTGGTATTGGAAGCCTATTTCCATTTGAATGCAACACTTTTTACAATGGAGGCCTCCTGTGGAGTTTGTGCCAGAAAGCCTGATGATCCCGAAGCTGTCTATGCAGAACACCTTTACTCCTCACATTTTGCACTGAATAGTACTTTGGTGACTTCACTAAAGAAGTTTTATGCAATCAAAAGGTATAAACAGCTTTACTGGTAGCAGCAAATCTTTTGGGTTGGGCCTGAGTGTGCACATCCAGTTCTGTATTTCCTGTCTGGCATTCTCTAAGATTGTCCCTTACCATGAGGTGCCATTAAACTCTGACTGACCCACCCAACAGAATCAAATAAAGTACTGTTGGTAAGCAGTCTTCACAGCTGAAACAGGTAGTCTAATCCCAGGCTGTCTGCCCCGGATTATCCACGTTATATGGGCTCACTAAGTGAGAGCAGATATTTGCGCACTTTAAAAACCATTGGTGCAAAAATTGGCCAGACATTAGGTATCTTCTTGAAGGATTTTGTTTCAGCTCTTGATTATCCCGCTGTGTGCTATTAAATTAGTGTTCATCTATATTCTCACCCATCCTTCCAGTTGCTGCATTCACTTGTCTTATCCATCTTTCCAGTTGCTGTATTCACATTACTGCTCCCACAGCTAATTCCAAAGGCAGAAGTTCAGGCAGGACTCCAGACAAATTAAAATCTGACTTGAAGTGGGAACGACTCATTTTGTTACCTCCCAGATGAATACTGAGAGCAACCACATGGCCCATCCAGACCACTGCTCTCTGCCTCCTAAGAAATACCACCTACAATGAACAGAGCCTCATGGCTCCGGCCATGAGTTTTAAAGAACTCTGTGTTACTGACAGAATGAGAGAATGGGTAGATGGCATCTCCAGATCCATTTGTAAGGAAATGTGCTGCAAGAGCCGAAGCCTGAACACTCCAAAATTAACTACATAATAAAATTAACTGCTCTCTCTTAGGTCAGTGTGTTTGCCTTAAAAAATTATGGCTGTGGTGGTTTGGTTTAGCAGCTTTGGGGTGTGATGTTGTCTTTACTTGACATTTTGACAAGAGGTGAGGTGGCTGGGGTGATGGGATTTCATTTGGGGATTGCAAGGGTGGAGAAAGTTTTTTTTGTATTTCTGGCTGGCTGGCTGCCTTTTGTAGGATATGATGTGCTGATGCTTTGTTTTTATTGGTACAAATTGTATTTTTAAAGGATGGCAGGATGCCTGGTGACTGGATAGATATCATTTACAATGTCAAAATAAATACATGAACAAATTGTGTTTAGCATGCAAATTACTGGCTTTGTGTTTTATTATCTGTAAAAGCCAATATTAATGCATATTAGTGGATTCTTTAGAACTTAGCCACATCATAGAACAATGAATGAAATTTTTAATTCACAGCTCATAAATTAAAGAAAAAAGAAATCATTTAAAAGTCATGCATACACAAAAAATGAGGCAACATATTAATACAGAAAGGAAACCTATATGTGAAACTGCAGCATAACACTGCTTCTCATCAAGGAAGCTAATTCTTATCAGGAGATCTTTTTTTTTATTATTGACTCACATCCACCAAGAATGCAGGACTGAAACCACTCTTATTTGTATCAATAATATTGCAAGAAATCACAGCATAAAAGAAAACCAACAGTAATCTATTGAATTAAGACCAGACATACTCTGTGCTTCTCAAACCAAAGAGACTAAGACTAGGAGCTCAATAATCCCAAGAAAGAATCATAAATGTGGAATTCTGAGCATCTAGATTTGGCACACTGTTTTCCACTTTTGTGATAAAATGCAGAGGATCACAAGCTGGTGGAGTTAAGAACTAAAATGTCAAATGAAGTCTTATATGAAAGTATTTTTCTAGGTATGGTGGGCACATTTGAAAGTGCTTTTCAAGACAGACAAATGCAAGGTCATATATCAAGAGTAAAAAATGTAGGTCAAAAAAATAACTCTGGGGTTTTTACAGATAACCACTTGGACATGAACTTTTCCTGACATCATGTTGCTGAAAAATCAAGCATAACCATGAGATCACCGAGTAGACACAGGAAATTGTTCTTACCACTGTACATTGCAATAATGACTGTAATACACTTCTGGTGTCAACACTTCAAAAACTGATATTGAAAAGAGATACCAAGAGATTCCAAAGAGTTGTTCCAATCCACAAAGATTTATCTTAGAGCAAGATAATGCTCCATTTAGTAATCTATTTAAGAAAAGGTTCAGGGATTTGCCTGTGATGTATAAGCATCTTCATGGAAACTATGTTCTTATCTGGAGATGGTCACTGAAGCTAAAGCAAAAGACAGTGAGATATAATTCAGTGTTTAGAAGACAAAGTAAAAATAAGACATATACTTTAGTGCTTCTGATTAAGCATCTGCAAAACACATGGTAGATGGTGCACGGAACCTCAAAGTTTCCAGTGGTTACTGAAGCAAACAGAATTATTGACATAGTCAGTGGCAAATTAAAAGAAATATCTGGCTTTCACATCTCTTCTTAGCCTTACAGATAGGACAGTGACTACTGCTGTGAAATTACATATGAAAAAGAATTAGGATGTTAAAGATTGTTCCTGCATTTTAGGGCCTTATACCTCAACAATATTTATTCTTTCAAACAAGCTGTCGCGAAAAAATATATCTTCAAAACACCATTTGATGGGTAAGGTTCAGTGTCTTGGGTGACAAAAAATACAAAATATGTGGTCAAGGTGGTGTCTTAAAGTATTCACTGAGTAACTGAACACCTTTCAATGTTTAGTTATTTTTATCTCTATCCATAATGATCATACCTGAGATTTTCTGTTTGCCTTACCTCATTTTCCATTTCCTAGGCCATTAGGAAATCTAACTGGGGGCCAGCAAAAGAACTGAAAATTAGGTTAGGAATTTGCTAAGTTCTTCCAA